ATGATGCAAGAATAGTTCACGTAATGCTTATGACTTAAACTCTTAATTAATGCAAGGATTGACTTTAGTATATATAGTTGAATTATATAGGATTATATAGTACTTGTTTGAAATTTAAATATTCTTAACCTCAAGTAAATTTGAGCGTTTAATGTGGTACCAACTTTAATTTGACCTTGTAGCTTAAATTTTAAATTTGTACTAATCTAATCCTCTTATTCTTATGAAAACATTAACAAATCCCATTTTTATCGACACACATTTTTTTTTTTTTATCTTTTAGATTACGATTGACGTTTGAACTTGAAATCCTCAATTTTAAAATTGACAATAGTACCAGCAAACTTTAATTTTAATTTGAGCGTTTTCACCTAATTGGGTAGATAAAAAGATTAAATTAAGACCATGATACTTTATCTTTATATTCAATATATAACAAGAATTGATAGTTTAAATTAAGTGGTAAGAAGAGAGGGTTAAATGTAAACAAATATTAAAGCATCCCTAATCGTGTCACCATCAAAAAAATGAAATTCAATCATATTGCATCAAGATAAGTGTTTACATGAACTTAGAGATCAGATCAAGATTAAAATAAGCTTAGTGTTTTTGAGAACTTTGACTCCAATATTTCTAAACTACGCAGTTGTTGAAACATTGTAAAATCAACATCAACCCCAAAATATAAATTATATATAGTTTGCTTGCTTTTGTTTTTTTAAGACGGTTTCCTATAAAAATCTCTTCTTTTAAAGAAAGCCTAATTTCAAGACTTAAGTCATTAGACATTCATATGCAATATTCAATCCAAATTATACCGTTAGACTGCCATAAAAATGCTAACCATCTTCATTCTAATATTCTTCATTTTTTTTACTTTTTGTGAATAAATGGTTGCTGGGTTATCAAATCAAAACAAGATATTTTGAAGAAAAAGTTTGAGGGATGATATATAATTGATACGTTTGAACTTTAAATAGACAAAGATGATTTAGGATAAAGGAGATAGAGTAGCAAAAATGGCAACTGAATCAGACAATCATGATAAGAAAATCGACAGAACAAGAAACACAAATCGCTTACATATTCTAAATGTCTTAGCATATTATAATACCATTATGACAAAAAAAAAAAAGTAACAAAATTTGATTGGATCATGATCAATTGATCATGCTGGGGTTTTTGCCGTTTTACTTTCGGTTTTCATCATAACAATTTTTTATTGCAAACTCAATTTGTAGATTATTTCTTATATATATATATATATATATATATATATATATAAAAGAGAGAGATTAACTTACCCAATATAACTTTTTTTTAGTTTTACATATATTTGTAACCCTTGATTTTGTTATATCTCAGAAAGACAAATAAAAAAAATAATTTAATCTCATCCCTTAAATCTATTAAAATTAATTATTAAAAATATATATAATTAAAAAAATTATATTAAATAAATTGATCTCTCATCATATATATATATATATATATAAATATATAATGAATGGAAAGATTCGAATATACTTCTTTGAACAAGAAAAACATATAAGAGTTATCGGACTAAATGTTTGAATGCATTTTTTTAACTAAATTAAAAAAATTATATTAATGCAGTAAATGAAAATATTATTTTATATAATAATTTTAATACACTCAGTAATAAAATCCTATAAAAAAAATTCTTTATCAAGTGTCTTAAAATTGATTAGCAAAACAATATTATAAATCAATTATCATCCGTCGTGTTAATATACAAATATTTCAGCAATACATAAATATTTTCGCAAGTGATTTTAGAGCTTTGAAAAAAAAAGACAATTTTTTTCTTTATAATTGTCTTAGGCTACATAATTTGCCGGCGGCCATAAATCATCGGTTAAATCCAGAGGTATAAGGCAATTAAATTCCACGTGGCCAAATCACAGTAGCCTGTTGGACACCGTCAAAGGAACCTGATGGGCATGCGCGATGTACGTAACGAGCACGAAAGCCAGGCGTTGTGGGACGCGTGATTATTTGGCGGAACAATAGCGACCGAGTTGTAGAGCATTACGGCCGAGTGGGCTGGAGGAAGAGCAATAGGAGAGAGACACGTGTTGCCAATAAAATGCGGTGGCTTTTGGGGTTGAGCCGGTCAACGCGGGGATTGAGTCCTATTATGCCATGAAAAACGTTTTGAATATATTTTAAATATTATTTTAATTTAATTTGAAAATATTAAAAATGTTATGATGATGAACTGAATGAAACAATAATTATTATTAAACAGTGTGTCAGTAAAATTTATTTAAACTCTTTATTACATTGTATAGAGAATAAAAAATCCCTCAACACTTGCTATAAACATCTCATGTCAAAGTTATTAACGTATAATACTTAATGAGTATCAAGTAACTGCTTGTATGGATAAAAATAACTGTGTATTGGTGGTTGAAGAAACAATGAGCATCAAGTAACAATGACCTTTAAAATGTTTTTCAACGCATGAATAGGTTGATATTAAGAATTTTGTTTTTGTTTCGGTGGTTGAACACCATTTAGAAACAAATAGAATAGAATATTGGCAGATTCTTAATGTTTCCCACAACTAATATAGTAGTAAATAGTGGGGGTTGTTGGTTCCATGCATTTGAGGGAGGTTCGTTTTATTTTCTTAAGCTAAAATGAGCAAAAGAAGCCAAAACATTGGTGGATAAACAAATTTGTTATTCCATCCATTTAGGCTTGTTATTAACCATGTGACTAATCAAACTCTCTCATTCAACTCTTTTGTTTGACTTCAAGTTTAGGAAACTATACCATCCTCATCACCTATAAGAATAAAAGGAAAATTAAATAGTCTCTATGATTTTATTTGCATATCAAGAGTTCATTCAAAATATTTTCATGTCAAAAATCAATAATGTGTGATTTATAATCCAAATTCAATTTAAAATTTTGTTTATTAGAGTTTAATAAACATAAATTTAATGATGTTATTCTAAAACGTTTTAATTTATATAACAATAGCATGTAAATTACAAAACATCGAATTCTTCAAAGAATTAAATATATTTTTTTTGAAAATTTAATATCAATTAAATTTGTTTTGTTTAGTGAACTTTAATAAATGCAAATACTTGGATGTTATCCAAAACGTCTTAATCCATATTATGTCTCCAAGTTCCAAACATCAAATTGGAGTTAAAACTTATTGAGTAAATTGGCTTCAATATTTGGCCAAAAACGATGGCTTCAATTAAGCCTTTCAAAAGCCGTTATGTATCGAGTATGAACCTGACTATAGATGACTTGTTTGGTGCAATGTCAGATAACTTCGTTACCTTGCAAAAGAAGGTCATTTTGGGCAGCTTTCAAGTCAATCAAGAAGGTGGGTGACTGTCGTTTTCAATTTAACCAAACAAAATATAGCCGGTAAATTTGAAGTTTTCCCTTGAAGGCGGTAAACCGACAATGGCACAATTGTAAATAGCTTATAACGATGGGCATAAGTTTTGGATAACTCGGTTGGATGAGCGGTTGACATCTGACCCAACGAGACTTGTCTACTTGTGTGAACACTGAGGAAGCATCCCATGCATTGCACAGGAATAATTGGTCCATTTGGTAAAAGATCAGCTATAGCACTGCCCATTTATTTAAGAGAAAGGATTACGCTCATCGATCTTTCTATGTTAATAGCTTATAATCATTTTTCAATTATGTCTTGTAATTATATTTTTTAAAAAAATAATTTTTTATTATAAAAGTTATTAATGAATTATTAAAATAAATATTCATTATTTAATTATAATATGTAATAAATAATTATTTTATTAAATTTAATCATGTGATATTATTAGAATAAAAATGAGATATATTTATGTGAAATAACTGTTTCATATAAAATTTTTTAGTTAATCATAGTTTTATTTAGCAATTTTCTTTTTTAATTATTTTTTATTTTGCATGAATTATTACTTTGACTCTTGTCCTTTGAATGCTAATTTGTCATAAAGCTTGCGTTTATGGATAAATTTGATTCTTTCATTGTAAGGAAAAAAATATATAAGAAACTATGTAAATGTTATTGACTAATTGAATCAATAATATTAGATTTTATTGTGATATTGGTATAATTCAATTAATAAAGGTTTTACAACAAAAATTAAGCATTTTCTATTTTTTGTCTTTGCGTATGGTGCAACTTGTATGCAAAACTTTAATATTTCAAATTTTGAGGGGGATTATAGAATCATCAATTGTTTTATTATTAAATTTGCTAATGAGTATTTTAAAGAAACTCTTAAAATAGTTGAGAAAAAAAAAGAAAATCAAACTATTTTTGCAAACTTCAATAAAAATTAAAATTAACAAATATAAAAAATATAGATAAATGACGTGAGTACTATTAATTGGAACTGTTCTCAGTTCAGTCCATTGTGAGAAGGTGTACAATTGAGAATGGATTCCGTTTTAATGTATTAGATAATATTATTTATAGTAATATTTTTTATTAAATGTAACAATTAACCATTAATCTTATGATTTGTACTATATTAAAAAAATAAATTATTTAAATAATAAATAATAATTTTAAAAAGTATTTTTAAAATACTCGTTAAAATAACTGTTATTATAAATAAATTAATTAATTGTAAATAAATTAGTAAAAGTAAATCAATAATGTTGGTATTTGTTAATGATAAATTTATCTCTTTTGTAAATAAATAGGCCGAAGCAAGTGGCAATAGATGATTGGTGGTGAGAGAGTTGATAAGCTAAGTAGAAATTTAGTTGATCGACTTGGCTAGGCGGACTTTAATTGAACACATTTTAGAAAACAGACAAACGGCCAAAGTCCAACTTGGAACGGATCGCTTCCACATTTCCAAAACACCCCATGAGATTCCAACACGACTTTTCCCGTCTCCATGAAACACAAAGCCCTTCTCGATTCCAACTTCCAACGTTTGGTCTGAAATCAAATTTGGATATGCTTCAATTCTTTTCTCATTTTTTTAAAGAAATAAAATTTCAAAATCCTCGTTATATCTTTCCACAGGCCCTTTTCCTATTAGGCTATTCCCTTAACCCGAACGCCCGCCTTATAAATATCCAATCTCTCTTCTTCTTCGGTCAAGAAAATTCCAAACCTGAAAACTAAAAAAAAAAAAAAAAAATTCAATTTTTAATCATTTTCAGAAATGGTTGATTCAGATTGTAAAGCAAAGATGGCTTCTTCCGACGTCCCAAACAAATCCCCAAAGCTCTCTAACAAACTCCAGGTTTCGATTCCAACACCGTTTCATTTTTCGAATACTTCATCTCCACTTTCCACTTCCTCAACCGCTTCCTCAGCTTACGACTATTATCTTCGGCTCCCGGAGCTCAGGAAGTTATGGGAGACGAAAGAGTTTCCAGCTTGGCAAAACGAGCGCGTTTTGAAGCCGGCTTTGCACGCTTTGGAGATCACGTTCCGGTTTATTTCAGTTGTTTTATCGGATCCTAGACCGTATTCGAACCGCCGCGAGTGGTCGCGTCGGCTCGAGTCACTCACCACGAGTCAGATCGAACTCATCGCTATGCTCTGCGAAGACGAAAACGAGGAGAAAATCGCCGCAGGAACGACACCGATCGTTGATCTGACCTCGTCGAAGGGAGTACTAGCACGAGAGTGCAGCTCCGCCGAGGTATGGAAGATTCATGGAGAAACGACGGTGGTGAATCAAACCAGCGAAGCCAGCTTATTACCTCGACTCGCCACGTGGCAGAAATCCGAAGACGTAGCACGTAAAATCCTCTACTCTATTGAGTGTGAGATGAGGCGGTGTCCTTACACTTTAGGTTTGGGAGAGCCGAACCTATGTGGCAAACCAAACCTTTACTACGACGCTGTTTGCAAGCCGAACGAACTCCACGCGCTTAAGAAGAGTCCGTACGATCACATCAAGAACCACGAGAACGCGACGCTTTACACGACGCATCAGATTCTGGAATCGTGGATCCAAACGGCGAAACAAGTATTGAAACGAATCACTTTGAGGATCGACGCGGCAAGCTTCGAAACCGCCACGAGCGATTGTTATTTGATGGAAAAGATCTGGAAGCTTCTAGCGGAAATTGAAGATCTCCATCTCCTGATGGACCCCGACGATTTCCTTCGCCTGAAAAGTCAGTTACTGATAAAACCAGTCAACGAAACAGATGCGCTTTGTTTCAGGTCGAAAGGGTTGGTTGAAATTACAAAAATGTCCAAGGAGTTAAGACACAAGGTTCCGTTTATTTTGGGCGTCGAGGTGGATCCTAAAGGTGGACCCAGGATTCAAGAAGCTGCGATGAGATTGTACGCAGAGAAGCAGGAGGGTAATAAGGTCTTTTTGGTACAAGCTTTGCAAGCCATTGAAGGAGCCTTGAAGCGGTTCTTTTATGGGTATAAGCAAGTGCTGACGGTGGTTATGGGAAGTTTGGAAGCGAAAGGGAACCGAGTCGCGGCGAGTTCCGACTCGGAGGACTCATTGAGTCAGATATTCTTAGAGCCTACTTATTTCCCCAGTTTGGATGCGGCTAAGACTTTTTTGGGCGAGTTTTGGAGTCATGAACAGAATGGGTCTGGGTTGACTCGGTGGAAGAAGCGATGATGACTAGGACCAATCGTTTGAACTTTAGTTTGGTTAATTGATATTATGGAAATGAAAAAGAAAAGACAAGAAAAAGATTAATTATTCTTTGTAGTGTTGATGTTTGAAGAACAATTATTGTTTGTATGCTGTAAAATTTTTGTAAAATGGGAATTCATGATTTATAAAATTGTAACCAAATACTAGAAAAATGGGTTTTTTTTTTTTTTTTTTTGGTTATTGCTGCAGATCCATTTAAATTAGATTTTTTGTATTAAAAAAAATATAAATAAAAAAAATTTTAAATATTGCAAGGATAAGAGGAATGATTTTTTTTTTTTTTAATTATAGGTTCGATTCTTGGAAAAAAAAAGTAACAGATTCAATTGCCAATTTGGTTGTGATTTCTTACGCATAAGAATTCATATTTGAAGTTAATTTAGATTATTTTCTTTAAACAAATTGTTGTATTAAAGATATGTAAGATATTTGTTTTTTGAATTTTTAATTTATCCTTAATTTTTTACTCTTATTTACTTGATTCATTTTAAAAAGATGTTATAGGCTAAAATATTACTTATAAAATTTGAATCGATACATGAATTAATACTCATTGGTTAAAGATATGTGTTACGGATTTAAAGAGAAATTTTGAATTTCATATCGAACATAATAGGAGGGTCACTGAGGTATATAAGGGTTCACACTACTTTCGTCTTGTGAGGGATCTTTTGTAGGATAAAACTGTGAGGCCAAAAGGGTCAGAGCAGATAATACCTCACAAAGGTGTGAACCGTGACAGGAAGGCTGATTTGAGACGCCGGAAGGGTGAATGCCCAAGTCTCGGAGCCACACGAGTTCGAAACTTGAGTCTCGACCCATGACAAGTGGTATCAGAGTCAATCCTAAACCATTCGATCCACGTCAAGCATTTCGAGGAAGGTAGGCAAGGTGATCAGCTTACGTGACAAGAGCGTCATGAGGTTGGGTGCGGAAGAATGTCACAGATCTAAAGAGGAGTCCTGAATCCCACATCGAACATAATAAAAAGCTCACTAGGATATATAAGAGTTCACACCACTTTCACCTTGTGAGACATCTTAATTCGGAGTTTAAATCTCGACCAGTGACATACGTATTTTATTATTAAAAGGTAAATAATAAAATTGATTCATATCCAAGCAGCTGCAGAAGAAATCTGATTTAATTTTTTTTTTTATTTTATATTGTATAATTTATCAATTTTGGGGCAGGCTAAAAAACTACATAAGAATTTATGTTATATGGTGTCGTTTTCATCTTCCAAGAATTGCTCCATTAAATTCTGTGAAAATAATTGATGACTAAAATTTCCAAAAATCTATCGACTCTGTACTTTAGTCAATTCTATAAAATATCCATCCAATTTCCAGGGATCCTATGTTAGGTTCGTTTGTCCTCGAGCTAAAAGTAGTACTAGGATCAATCTTCATTTGAAAAATTATCTCATACATTGTTTTTAAACTTCACATTGTCACGTATACATCAAAATATATTTAAAATAATTAATACATTAATATAATAATAAATAAAATAACGAGATAGTATAGTTTTAAAAATTTCAATGAAGGTGTATAATATTGGATTTAAAAACGTTTTAATTCCCATTGCATGTGAAAATTATCAGCAAACAGAAATTGAAATCGAATTCCATCAACCGGTACAAATAGGTAACAGTTGACAGCACAACATTATGATGCTGGAGTTGGGGTAATTTCAGCACAACATTGTTGAAAAATTTATGGTTTTGGTCGGATATAAACGTGGTTTTCACATTTGAAAGCAATGTCTGCCATGTAGGAAAGATCAGGAAGTATATGGGATTGTATAATCTTGCCCTTGAGCGATGGTTGATGAAATTATTTTTATTATTATTATTTCTAAGGTTTGTTGGGCTGTGGGCAATTCCAGGCATAGCTCCAGAGGAGTTCCAAGTTCAAATGGTGGCCGAATTTAGAAGGCTAAAATATAACAAAAAAAACCTGTGAAGCATTTAAATCAATCTAACTAAATTCTTATACGATTATGTCATCCAGATAAGTCATTAATTTTTTTTCTTTTACTATCAAAATCTTTTTACTCTTATATTAATGATATATTGATATATTTTAAGATATGTACACATTGACATGATAACAAAAGTATACATTGTGTAAAAATAAAAAAAAAAATTCAAATAAAAAATTATCTAACAAATAATTTTATTAATTGATATCATAATTAAAAATAATTTAAAAAATTAATAATATATAAAATTAATAAAAAAATGAAATACCTAAATTTATGTGAAAATTAATAAAAATTATTAATTATTTGATCATGATCGAAAGTAATTAATAAAAGAAAATGTATATTAATATATAAGTAAAATTAATAAAAAAATCTATATTCATATAAAAAAATCAAAATGATTTTAATTTCCTTTTTCATATAAATATAACTATTTCCTTTTTATTAATTTTATATATAAATATTTCTTTTTTATTAATAAACATCTACTTCAATTCCTTTTTTTGCTGGCTGTTTGTGTTACTACTAGAACACAAAATTGATTTGTTTAATTTTATTTTCTGACCCGAGCCTTTTTCATATTGCTGTAGCATGTGCTTCACTTTTTTGCCTTCCCTTTTCTTTGCCATAGCACAAAAGTAAATTGTAATCTGCGAAAAAAAGGTAAGTGACTTTGGGGACCATTTTTTACTAGCTTGTGCCCCCTTGATCTGTCCTTCTCTTTTGGCTTTCTCCAGTAATGTTGATAGACTTTCATTGCATAACAGAAACAAGTATGGGGACAACAAATCTCCTTATCTGATACCTCTTTTAAAACAAAATTTATCATTAGTATAACCATTGATATTAATAGAGTAAGAGACAAATGTTATCCACCGCATGATAAGTGAAATTCATCTTAGGCTAAAGCCTAATCTTTCCATCATCGAGCTAAAAAAGGCCATTCAATTCTGTCATAGGTTTTACTCATATCAAGTTTTAAAACAAACAAATCATTCTTCCCTGGATTTTTATTTCTTAAAGAGTGTAACAGATCATAGGCGACAATTATGTTATCCGTTATAAGCCTACAAGGTACAAAGGCACTTTGGGTTCATTAATGCAGAAAGGAAAAACTAATTTAAGCCTACTTGCTAGGACTTTAGCGACAAGCTTGTAAAGGGCATTACATAGGCTGATCAGTTTAAATTAAGTGATGTTTTTCGGGTCTTAAATCTTAGTTATGAGGACAATAGTAATATGAATAACCTGGTCTAGTTCTCTTTCCCCATTTAGAAAAGGTAAACAAAAATTAATCACATCACTATCCACGATATGCTAGAATTTTTTATAGAACAAAGTACGCATACCATGAAGACTTGGAGATTTAATAGGATGCATTTGTTTGAGGGCCGTCAAAACCTAATTAGCTTTGAATTCTGCAAGTGAGAGTTCGTTTCTGGTACGCATCTTTCAATAGCCTCAAAGATTTTTTCAGTGTGATTGCATCTTTGAGTTTGTAAAAGTTATCTAAATTGACAAGTGGCAGTGCTTCGGATGTTATCTTCATTGTCATACCAAATTCCATCATCTCTTTCTAGACCTCCGATCGTATTATTCCTTTTCTCTGGTTTGCCTTAGCATGGAAAAATGTAGTGTTCTTATCCTTTTTCTCGGAGCCAATCAAAATAAGACCTTTGGGCTTAAAATGTTTCTTCTTATTCCAATCCTGTGTTCAGCTATCTTCTTATTTTTGTGCATTTTCCCAAATATTTTGGCTCAGCAGAAAGCTTTTAACATGATTAAGCTCTTTCTTTAGTTCTTCAATTTTACTTCGCATGTTCCTAAATCTTGTTCTATGCCAGTGTAATAACTTCTCATTCGTGCTTTTCAGCTTCCTTACAAGATGATCACTTTTATTTCCGTTCCATGCCATGCTGACCTCATCTTCACAGTTAATTTCCTTCACCCACATGGCCTCTAAGCGAAATCTTTTTTGGTTCATTTTTCTTCGTCTTACACTTTGTTTCCTTTCAATATTAAGTAAAATTTTGGAGAAGAGTAATATAGAGTCCCGTTCTAGATGATACCGATAATAATGAAATTTATAATAAGAAAAAAATCCGTCGACTTTAAAAATCATGAGGGTTCAAGTCCATCTATCCCCAACCTTAAAAGCCTGTTTGATCTCTTACCCTTTTTGTTAGTGGTTCAAAGTTTAAGTAAAAAAAAAAAAAACTCTTGGGAAGATCAAAGAAAAAACATGTTCTTCTTCCGTAAAGAATTCTTCCAAAAATTCCGAACCTAATCTTTTCAAAAAAGCACGTACAGTACTTTTGTGTTTACGAGCCAAAGTTTTAACACAAGAAAGCCGAAGTATATATTTTATTCGATACAAACTCTTTTTTTTTGAAGATCCACTGTGATAATGAGAAAGATTTTTTGCATATATGCTCAAATTGATCAATAATATCAAAATAGGAAGAATCGACCCACTTCGACTTACTAATGGGATGCCTTAATGTGTTACAAAATTTTGCTTTAGACAACGATCCAATGAGAGAAATATTTGGAATTCTTAGTCTAAAATCGGAGCTTAAGGTGACAATCCAAGTATTGTTGAAATAGTTCCCACTAGCTTTGGTTTGCTACTCTGTGAAGTCTTTCCCTAATATTATTATTGGTCTTATTTCCCATTTCCCAGGTGTACCACTATCCATTGAAACCAAGGTCTTCAAAGCCAACATCAGCTAAAGCTCCTCGAAAATCCTTAATTTGACTCTCTCATGTAGGCAGTGCCTGCACTTTTCTTGAGTTCACAATATCTCATTGAAGTCACCAATGTAAAGCCAGGGTCTTGAGGACCGTGTCACCAAGTTTCGAAGCAAATCCCACGTATTCCCCTTCCTACACGTTTTAGGCTTCCTTTAAACCCCTGTTAGCCTTCATGCCCTCATGGTTATTCCTTCATCAACATCTATATCAATATGGTTCTTTGAAAAACTGAGTAATTGGAGCTTTATCTCTTCTTTCCTGAGCATGGCTAACCTGCCACTTACATCTTTTGAACTGACTCCAAAGCATGAATCCATCCTACATTTTCTCTGTATCCTGTCTAACTTATTTACATGTAGTTCCGTTTCGTCAAGAAAACTACTTGGGGCTCTCATTACCAGTT